TGTGTGAAGATCTCATTCTTCTCTCACCCCATCTTCTCCTGGCTCAAGTAGAGGATTTCTTTCTTTTCTTTTTTTTTTTATCCTCACCCGAGGACATTTTTTCTATTTTTTGTTCAGATAGAGTGTGGGAGGGAGAGAGAGAGAGAGAAACATCGACGTGAAAGGGACACGTCGAGTGGTTGCCACCCACATGACCCAACCAGGGCCGGGGACAAACTGCAACCGAGGTACATGCCCTTAGCGGGAACCGAACCCGGGTCTCTCTGGACCGCAGGCGGGCGAGGATTTCTTGATCAGTGCTCAGATTGCTGCCGAGATCCCTGATCCTATCTGGTCTGACAGTCAGCTCATCAGCCACTCGGAACACAGTTCTGGTGTAGATAATTGCCTCCGAGTTCCCATGAAAACAGCACCCTGGCTGATAGAATACAGACTTTCTACTGGCACGTTTCCTACCTGATGTAGTGCCGGTGGCATTAATTCCATCCCTCCTGTTCCTGGTGTCCACCCTCTTGCTCATGTTCTCACTGTCCCGGCACTTGGCCCAGCATCCAGGACCACATGACGGCCCTCAAGTCACTTGCCGTCTTCATCGTCTACACGTTGTATTTCCTGTCTCTGATGGTTGTTGATCTGAGAACCACAACCTTCCAGAATCACTGGCACTGGGCCTGGGGAGTGGTGACTTCCGCCGGTATCTGTCTGCATTCCAGTGTCCTGGCGCTGAGCAGCCCCAAGCTCAGAAAGGCCCTGAAGATGACACTTTGGAAAGCCCTGGACAAAAGACAGTTCATCTCAAGTTATCAGTACCAATAACCGGTGTCAATGGACAAGCCACGAGGGGCAATACCATACAAGGTTTGGGTGCTGTTCACTCTTTTCATTTCCTTCCTTCTTTCCCACTCCTATGTCCCAGGAATCCTTTTCCATCCTTCTCTGTTCCTATTACTTCCTCCAGGGCTCCTATCCCTGGTCTGTGTCTCAGGCCACTTTGGACTGGGGTGCAGGCCTCACAGGCCTCTCTCATTCTGTATATGAACAACCCTAATAATATTCTCCAAGCATCATTTTGGTCCATACACTCTTTACAGAGACCTGCAATCGATGTTGGTTGTCTCTGTGTTCACCTGGAGTGTTTCTTTTTTTTGAATGGAAGCATAGATGGTCCCACCCAGGTCCTGCACCTTCACTGCCCCCCTCATCATTGCCCTGCTGTGGGCTCGGTCTCTCTACTTCAGTCCAGGAGCCCTTCTTCCCATTTCTCGACACGTTCCTCCCTCCCGCCTGTGGTCGTTGGCCTGTTGAGCGTTCTTCTTTCCTTCCTCTGCCATGTCTTTGCTCTCCCCTTCTTTTGTACCCTGCTATGTCTGATTCCACCCAGGGAGCTTTTCCATGTTGATCCTCTGAAGACTGAAGGTGTATATGAATTTTGTCTCAGTGGAGGTCCAGTCCATGAGTTCATGTGTTTGCTCCGTGTTGAATTAAAACGAATGGTCTGAGGTGGAAATGTTTTTAGCTTTTGGCCAACAGATGACAGGGAAGGAAAACAAAGGAAATTTTCTGCAGCTCTTAATTTTTGACAACCCTATTCTTCATGCCTGCTCCCCAGCAGGTGGACCCTCAACACTGATGTATAGGGTCGTAGTCTCCAAATTGGGGTGTTTGCATCCCAGAGTGTGTGCAAAATTATCTAGTGGCTGTGGGAAAAAAGTGTGGCATCTTCAATTTTCATTTATTTTTATCTTATCTTTCTAATTCCTATTTTTATGTATGTTTAATGATGTACATAATGTATTAGTAAAGTAGTACATGCATATACTTAAATAAAAATGCATGTGGTGGAAAGCATGTCCATGATTTTTCTTTTTATTTATTCATTTATAAAATGCTATTGATTTTTAGAGAGAGAGGGAGAAGGAGAGAGAAAGAAACATTGATGTGAGAATAGAACATCAATTGGCTGCCTCTTGCATGCCCTCTACTGGGGATTGACCTGCAACGTGGGCATGTGCCCTGACCAGGAACTGAACCAACAACCTTTTGGTGCATGGGAAGATGCCCAACCAATTGAGCCACACAGGCCAGGGCATTCTTTTAAAAATTTTTTTTACTGACGGAGTTCACTGTAAAGTACAGAGACCAACAGACTAGAAGAGATTGAGAAAAGCACTAGACACAGTTAAGGGAGAGTCTATATTTGAATTAGTCAAAATAAAAGTAATAAATAACAGAGTAGAATAGAATTTTCAAATACACAACTGCATTGTCTAACATTCTCGGGACGCTAAGGCGTTATACATGATGTTATAATGCTAGCTGGAGGCTGAGTTGTGGAAAGAGGGGCAGAGATGAACTAACAATGAGGAGTTTTCATTTGGAAAATGGTTAATAAGGCTTTAAAAGAGGAGATTACCAAATTGCTGGAGAGGAGCACAGGGGATTTCCCAGAAAGTAGAGAATAGGTGAAGCTGGATAGAGGAAACTGGGAAGCTATTTCATAGAGTCTCTCTCTCTCTCTCTTCCCTCCCCTCCCCTCCCTTTCCCTCTCCTCCCCTTCCTTCCTTCCTTCCTTCCTTCCTTCCTTCCTTCCTTCCTTCCTTCCTTCCTTCCTTCCTTCCTTCCTTCCTTCCTTCCTCTTTTGCAACAGTAAGTGAGCTGATAACTTCCTACATGGAGAGCAATAATAAATTATGTGGAATGAGCCTTGAGGCTCAAGCCACAGGAGGGTTGGGTGGAGGCAGAGAAGGCAGGAGTATCAGGGTTCGTCTCCTGTATCCCCTCTACTCAACTGCAGGCACCTGGAAAACTGCCTTTCCCTTGGCAGAGCCCCAGGACTTTCCTGGATGTCTTGGGTATGAAGGGGATGCTGGTTCCGCTCTCATGTTCTGTAACATTTCTGCAGTCCTTTGAGTTATGCCATGTCTGGAGGCTTATCTCAGAAGTCTTCATTGGTGACGGTTTCAACTTCCCATTCTAGGCTTGAACTCATAACAATCCAAAACTGTTTGGTGGTTCCGTGTTGACCAATTACAACCCAATATCTCATCCTGATCTTCAAGGCTGTCTGTGATTTCTCCCCAGCACAACTTTTCTGCCTGATATGCCACCATCCCCTTATGTGAATCCTCTGCTGTAGCCAAATCTATCTTATTTCCTAGACCTAATCACACCTTCACCTCCTTTACTGACGCCATGCCTCCTTCCTGCCAATATGCATGGCAACCTCTTTGTTGTCCCACCACGAAGAGGCTGCTGCTGAACTTCTCTGAGACTTCTTTGGATGGGACTAGGAGGACACATGACCTTAGGACCACAGGCTGGGACTTCTCCCTCTTTCTAATCCCTCTGAGACAGAGAGTGCTGAGTTGAGTGTTTTCTCATATGGAGAACCTACTTAGGATTTCTACCTCTACCACTCTCATGATTGCACTTCTAAAGATGGGCCGTGAAAAAATTTAAATCCTCAGAATTGGCTTCCACTTAAGATAAATCTGAACACGAGAAAGCAAAATGCAACCAACAAACAAAAAGCACAAACACAAGAGTCACCATAAAACACAATGCCCATTTTCAACTCAAATGATTATTTCCTCTTTGGGATTAACGTAATCCGTACATGCCCAGTAAACGTTTGTGATTTATGATTAATGCATGAGAGAAGATACCTGTTTCCTAGTCATAGCCCCAATGCCTTTCAGAGTCATTATGACATATAAGAATTGCTTAGTAAATTCTTGTTAAATGAGTGGAGGATTAACTGCACATTTTCCCCATCATATGAGCCATCGAAGACCAGGAGGTGGTGGGAGCAGATGAGTTTTCCATATTGAGGGTTTTGTGGCTGACCAAACTCTAGAGCGAGGAGCCCAGAGTTTACCACATTGCTCCCAATTCCAGTAGGAAACAGCCAGATGCCATCCAGAGGAACAAGGGCAGGGAAGAGAGCAGTTGGGAACTCTATCCCCTGGAGATTTACCTCAAGAAAGGCAGAGTGAATGAGTTACCTTAGTTCACCTTTGTTTCCTTCTCCCAGGAACACAGTGCTCATTATAGCTCAGCCTCAGTGTTGGAAGAACAATTCCACCTGGACCTTTGTCCCAAGTGGTCTGGGGACTGGAAAGATATGTTCTGCATTCTGCTCTCTCTTTGTGGGGTTCTATGCACGGAGCTGGTAAGATATGATGCTAGTCAGAAGGTGAATGTACTGTAAAATACACCTTCACTGTCATGTTGCTTGGTCCCACGTGTTCAATATTGCCATGTTTGACTAAGAACAATTTCTGTTTGCATATCTCCCTGCAACACATTAACCTGCTCACACTCACCTGGTTAATTAAGCACTCACTTGCTTATTTATTTATTTGTTTATTCCTCTTTGAACTTATTTCTATGAGAACTGTGGCCTTTGGTTACTCTGCCTTCCTCTGGGTTAAAGTAGGTGGTCTAATATTTGGTTCCCTGGACCTGTACTGCATCCCTAATGCCCTTCTTAATTCTCCTTGGACTACTTGTGACTCTACATGATGGATGGACTGGAAGACAGTCATTATAATAAAAATGGTCATCATCACCTTAGTTCTTTCTTATGAGTGTGCAGAGATTTATAGTGTCTGTAGGGGGCGCACGCTGGGGATTTCCTCACCAGCTGCCAGGAGATGTGTGGTCATGTGTTAGGGGTCAGCTTTAAGAAGTATCAGCTGCTGTGTAAGGGATGCTGAATGCGAGAGCCTGGTATATTATCCACACCCATGTTGACGTGGGCAGAAAACAGGCAGAGAAAGAACAGGCAAATTCACAGGCCAGCGGGAGGACCTTCAAAACTGAGCTTCACTATATTTGCATGTATTCTGGGAAGAAGAACCCCTTTGTCATCCTCAGAGAGCCCACATTCTCCCTCTGCATTTGGGGCAGCTGGAGGGACACCCATCGCCCAGGACCTCCCAGAGAAACCCCACAGGAATAGATTTAAAGTCTCGGCATCCACCTTGTCCACCGGAAAGATGAATGGGAATGACATGGTTCCAGGACTTCCGGTGATGCCTAAGAGAGCCATCGTCTTGGATATCATTTTATTCTTTTTGTGCCTGTGGCCATAGCGAACAATGGCTTCCTCACTACAGCACTGGGCTTGCAGTGGCCGCTATGGAGAACACTGTCACCTTGTGATAAATTATTGATCAGCTGTGGGGGCCTCTCACTTCTGTCTGCAATGGGTGGTGATCGGTGTTCTCCTGTATTCAAAGCCTTTCCTGTCCAACCCTCTGCTCTAGTTCCTAGCCTTCTAGTGGGACTTCTTTATGGTTTAGCAGCTGGCTCAGTGTCTTCTATCACATGGAAATTGCAACTATCCCTCACCCTGTCTTCCTCTGGCTAAAGCAGAAGATGTCTGGTTTGGTACCGTGGATGCTGCTCAGCTCTGTGGGGCTTTCCAGCTTGAGCACCATGTTATTTTTAATAGGCCACCAAAGCCTCTATCAGGATTATTTAAGGAGAGGTCTGCAATCTTGGAATGTCACTGGGAATACTGTCAGGAGAACAGTTGAGAAATTCGATGTCTTCCCTCTAAATGTTGTTGCCTACCGTGGTCTTCCTCACTGGCATGGTTGTACTCATTACATCTCTGGGAAGATATGCCAAGAAGACCTTCCTGTCCACCTCACCTCTCATGGCCTCAGTGCTCTGGCACGTGTCAAAACTCTCCTGGCTCTCGTGTCCTTTGCCATCCTCTTCACCTCTGCTTTCCTGTCACTGGGGCTCAGTGCTGCAGGTGTCTTCCCACCTCAGGAACTTAAGTGGAAGGTGATGACTTATCTGTGCACAGTGGTCCACCCCATTGTTCTACTGCTGAGCACCCCAGGCTGAGACCTGTGCTAGAGAGGGTCTGCTCCTTAAGATGTGGGGCATCTTAAGTTGCAATTGATGAAAATCCCCAGAGACTCAAATGCAGAAGGCATGGGACACTGCTTCTTTCCCTTTCTTTGCCACATTTACTGTTCTTTCCCTCTTTGCTACATTTCCTGATGAGGAGGATACTTCAATCAAGTAGGGTTTCAAGGTGAGACCGAAGGTCCTGAAATAGCGGCTGGCATCCCTGATTTACACGCTGAGCAAATGTGTAGCTGATACAGCTGTGTTCCCTGTGGGACTTGATGTGGCTGAGAATCAGGAAACTTTTACTTTCCCTGTGATCTACCTCTTGGTGTTGAAAAGCATCCTTCTGACAACCGGAAGCAAGGATCCTGACAGCATGCAAGTTTTATCTGTTGAGTCAGACTAGAGAAGATTTTTGGAACCTTAGTTATCCTGTGGCTTCCTGCTTCGAACCACTTTCCTTTTTTTTTATCATCACTTCTCTGTGTTCCAGCCATCCCTGCAGTGCAGTCCTCTGTCCTTCCCTGGAGAGCTCCCGGAGTCTGAATTCCCCTCCCAGCGCGCGGTGTGCTTTGCGCGTGTGCGTGGCAGCGAGTTCTCTGGGGTTTGAGTATTTGCAGATGACCTTCTGAGATTCCTCTGCATGCTAGGGATGTGTGATGTATACATTGTTTATATTCCCCACAGTAGCCCAGTCTGCTAGACGGTATGTGAATGTTAAGGTGACATTGGGACCTACTGAAATCTTGAAATGGAGAGTTTGCCCTACATCTGTCTGACCCTTGAGATTTAAGAAGGAGAAACTCTCCTGGTGTGGTTTGGTGAAGAACGTAGCCTGCTCCTCTTCCTGTCAGAGAGCCTCTCAAACCTTCCTTAAGCTCGGTTACCTATTGAACCACTCAAACTGAGATTCCTGCATTTCCCTCTTGGGGCTTTAACACCCTCAGCCTCATTTCCTCCTCCCCCTCCTCCTCCCCTCTGCTCCGGCAGACAAGTCCCTGCTTTGGGCTTTTCATGGCTTATTTTCTAGTCCCTGCTCAGAGAGTCTCTCTTCTACCCGAATCTTGAACCTTTCCCTGTTGACTGCCCTTCCCTTCTTCAACAAATGTACCTCTTACCCTTTTTCCGGTAGAAAGTCCACTGGGTTCTGTTACCCCCTCAAGTGATCATCCTGAGAATTAGTCACTTGCCCAGAGTACCCCGCCCCCCACCAGGTGGCCCCTTACAATCCTCTTCTCTCCCTATTCTGTTGAAATGTGCTTCTAAAAGATGCACTTGAGTTCCTGTTCCCTCCATGTGATATTATCCTCAGCCCTCATCCTCCTGTGTCTCTGTAGTATTTGCCTCTTTGGATAACAAAGTATGTTTTGAAAAAGACACACGCAAGCTGGTTGTAAATAATTTTACAAAAGTGATACCTGATCTTGGTAGGAGATGTTTGAAAAAGGAAAGTAAATACCCCCTGTACTCATCCATCTGCATGGCGTCCTGAAAGGCTTTCTCCTGACTCCTGCTAAGGCTGCCCTTCGGGCTCTTCCCCACCTGCTTTTGGGTCTCCCTCATACCCCTCAACCTCCTGCCCTTGGTTCTCCCCTTAGTCAGCCCTCTTTTTAAAACATCCTTACCCGAGGGTATTTTTCTGCTGCTTTTTAGAGAAAGTGGGAGGGAGGGAGGGAGGGAGAGAGAGAGACATTGATGTGAGAGACACATTGATTGGTTGCTCATGTCCCGGCTGAGGCTGGGGAAGAACCTGCAACCCAGGTACGTGCCCTTGTCTGGGAGTCGAACCTGAGACCTTTCAGTGCACAGGCCAACGCTAACCATGGAGCACACCGGCCTTCTCGTTTTCATTTTGAGATTAATCTGCTCCTGTTCCTTGGTATTTACATCTATGCGCATAGCTTCACTTATGAGCTTCATGTGAATAACTACCAAAGCTTTGACCTTCCTCAAAACTCTAAACCTATATTTTCTTCCTGTTGTTGGACATTTGCACCTGATGGTCCCGGTGAACACTTCAAACTCAGCAGGTGCATAAAGTCTGTCTTCCTTTTACTCCTCTCTTCCTTTCCCCCACCAGCCCCTCCACCACTCAGTTGAATCTCTTTTTTTGTTTTTAATTTTTTTCTTTATTGATTTTAGAGAGAGAAGAAGGGAGAAGGAGAGGGAGATAGAAACACTGATGAGAGAGAACATCAATTGGCCACCTCCTGCATGCCCCCCACTGGGAATCAGGCCCACAACCTGAGCATGTGCCCTGACTGGGAATCGAACCAGCGACCTCTTGGTGCATGGGTTGACGCTCAGCCACTGAGCCACACCGACTGAATCTCTTTTTTCTATTCCTGATACCGAGTGAATCCGGCTTACAACCTCTGAGTTAGTTTTCACTCCCCACTCTACACTGAGCCCTTCTACCTAATGAGCAACTTGTCTTCAGTTTCAACCTCTGTATGTCTCTGTTATCTGTCCCTTCCCATTCCTATGGATCCTATTTTAGTTTAGACTGTCCTCTGCTTTTACCTGGACTGCTTAAATTTCTTTCTTTAAAATAAATGTTTTTATTCTTTTTTTTTAGAGACAAAGAGGAAGAGAGAGGGAGAAAGAGAGAAACATCCATGAGAGAAAATTATCAATCCTCTGCCTCCTGCATACCCCGTACTGGGGATCAAGCCCACAACTGGGGCATGTACCCTGACCTGGAATTGAACCAGTGACCTTGTGGTTCATGGGACAATGCTCAACCAACTGAGCCATCCTGGCCAAGGATGCTTAAGTTTCTTCTTTACCACTTGCTCATGACGCTCTTCCCTCCCAATCCCCCACTGGAACTACCATCACCAGATTAATGTCCTGAAGGCCTGACTGAGTATTTCACCCACACCCTCCTCACCTCTCAGTGCTTATCAAATAAAGCGCAGGTCCCCAAACTTGGCATTCAGGGACCTCCAAAACATAACAGATTGTATCTTTCACTGCTTCCGTTCTAGTAGAATCCTATTTCGCAACAAACTTTGGATGATTATTGTTCTGGACATACCTGGAGCTTTCTCCTTGACACACTGAAATGTGCCCTTATCCTCACGTCTGTTAAAATCCTGTTTCGTATTCCCCCCTATTTAACTTTTAGAGATTAATTTAAAGGGCTTTTCTTCAGGGAGCTTTTCTGCATGTCCCTCCTCCCAAGCTGTGATGTCTCCCACCTTTTTTTTTGTTTGTTTGGTATGTGTCCCTAGTGGGAACCGAACTCTGGGCCACAGAGTGATGCTCTAACTGCTGAGCCAAACCGGCCAGGGCTCTCCCACCTTTGAAGACATATCTATGGGTGTTGCTCAGGTGAGACATGAATTCTGCCTTGTGGTAGAACCATCTGTATAATGGTTCTATCCCCCCAGGAGATTTTAAGGTTCCTGAGGGCATGGGCTGCCTCATAGTCTCCCGCGTGCCCCTGAAGCACTTACACATACTTGCTACATTGAACAGCATGATTCAGTTGCCCCTGGAACCCAGCTGTAAGCACACGTTCTTTTGTCTGTATATTTTTGTACTTGCTACATTTTAATGCTTACGTTTGATTTGTATTCCCTTCACTGTCAGGCTGGCTTATTTTTGGAGGTCAAGCTTATATTCTGTTTCTCTTTGACTGATGCATAATGTAGAAACAATAAATGGGTAAGTGAGAGTAAAATTTGCCTGATGTTGCTATGCCTGGACTTTTGTTCTTTCTTGAGCATTTACATGTTGCTAAGCAACTGGGAACCACAAGCTTTTAGCTCCTTCCTGTGGGAATTTCAGTGAAGCCTGACTTTTTCCTCTTTGCTGTGAACCCTGGCTCCTTTTACAAAGAACCTTCTATCAGCTTCTCTGTTCCTTCCACTCTTCACATTATTAGCCTAGGAGAACAGAATATCTGCCGTACCCCGAATAATCTCCCCACACGTCCCCTTGGAGCTTGAACACACGAGAAAATAAAAGAGAAGCAGGGATTGTTGTATTTTAAAAATGCCCAGTAGCTTATTATCATTAATTTTGGCCTGTAGTCTAATTTCATCATGCTTTATGACGGTATTAACGACAGTCATTTCGGAATGCCTGTTCGGTGTGAGGCAGGGGCGGAACAGTTTATTTTCTTAAATCTTTTCTACACTTAATCCTGAATACAATACTGCAAAGTGGAAACTGAGGCTTGGAGGAGAAGACTGAGGTCTCGTGGTCAGGGTGTGATAGAACTACTCTCATGCTGTAGAGTTTGAAACAGTGGAGTGTTGATGTGGGAGATCATACATCATTTGTATAAGTACATATGGATACTGCAATTGGAAAAACAAAAATAGAGCCAACGTTTTATAATTAATTCCAGACACATAAGTTCTAAAGACAGATGATGTTTAATTTAAATGTTATTTGATTTTTAGAAGCCCCACCCCCTTTGATATTTCAATTTCTCCCCAGTTTCATTCCATACAATACTGCCTCCAAGTCTTACAGAAATGTTGAATGTTCTTACCCCACCTTTTGGTATGTTGTTGTAAAGTATGAACAAACCCTTAGCTCCCACAAACTGGAGAAGCCCTGTTTTCTTAGGTCTCCTTAAACAAGACTTGAAACATCAGGTCACAATGAAAATAATTGGCAGACTTGACTACAGAAAAGTTTAAACTGCTTCTTTAAAATGAAAAGATACTGTAAATGTAGGAATCACTGAAGTCCTTTTCAATTTTAAAGTACAAGTAACAGACTGTCATAAAATATTTACACACATTTTTTTAATAGATAAAAACAAGTACCTTTAATATAAAACAAGCTTCCTCAGGAAGAATACAGCAAACGAACAGACTAATGAGAAAAACAGATAATACATATTGCCAAGAAAATGTGAAGAGAAGCTTATCACCACTCTTGATCAGGGAAGTGCAAAGTTAAAAACAGCAAGACTTATACTATAAACACAGCTGCATTATTCAGTGGTTTTCCCCTTCTTTCTCTGGAAAATATGTAAGAGCAACAAGAAAGCTGAAACAGACTCCAAATACTCCAT